TACTTAATGTTGATAAACACCAAGCTAAGAAATCTACACAAGACAGAAAAGTTCTAAAAGGACTACTACATCAGAACTTTGGCTCTGTGTAGACTATATAGTCCCTGCTGATCAACTTATAGTTGGAAATAGCGGAATGACACTGATACTGATACTGATGTTTACCCGGGGGGGTACTACCACCCCAACTTGGGTAGGGGTGTGCCACCAGGACCTCAAAACCCTGACCCTATCCCAGACCTAAAATTTTGATTTTACATACACTACCCCAGACTAAAACTAAGAATTGTACACCCTATCCTAGACTAAACCCGGTTAGTCAATAGATTGCATACAATACAATAACGTTTTTATTTTTTTTGTGCCGTCAGAAAGCGTAGCCTATTCGCCGGAGAAAAACGACCAAATCGTAACCCTATCCCAGACAAAAAGGATACCCTATCCCAGACCAAATGTCAAAAAATGATACCCTACCCAAGACCCAAAAGCCGAAAAACCCTACCCTATAGGGCGGCACATACCCGTATAGCAAATATAGGGGAACCCCCCCCGGGATTGTTTATGGCTGCCTTCTCACGTGAGTGAAAACGCTCTATTAAATTGTAAATTAACCTTTTCTCCCATTTTTCCCCCCATTTTTCCTATTTGCATTTTGTTCATGTGAGTTTGAAAAATAGCACTAATTAGTACTATTTCATACAGAATCCTTTGTTTGCTATCGTTTGATTATCACTATTTAGTACTAAAAATTAGTATTTGTTTCACGTTTTTAGTGCGAGCACTCTAGCAATATTTTGATCTGTTGTATAATTAAGTGGTACCCGGTTACTATTAACCAATCRGAAGCATTTTTGTTGCATTGCTAAAAGTTCAAAAATGCGTTTCAAAATGGWGTCGTATTTCGATTCAACCTTTTTAAGATACGTTCTGAAATATTTACATTGAAAAATTCTGTTACATGTACCAGAAAAGCTTCCTCTTGCCCTATCAGCAATAAATATTAATAAAAACAAAGCATAGATGTAATAAAAGTAAGCAAAATCGGTGTTGTGTTAATAAGTCAGCAGCCGCCATTTTGATTACCGTGAGATATTATGAAATAGGARACTGGGTATTAGGAACTGTTCGCGTTGAAAAATAATCTGTTGCGAGTTTCGAGGTGAGATCACCTGGTTTGGGCTCAAACCCAAATACACCAGTTTCACATTCAATGCATACTGCTGTTTTTGAAGAGCACAGACTCATTTGCACAGGCTTAGCCTCGTTTATAAGTCAGCTATTCACAGTTACCATTAAAAGTCCGTGGGATTTCAAATCATTGGTATTGTTCAAGCTGCACATTCTTTACATTGAAGTTCACATTTTTCTTTCGTGTTCCGTTAATAGCCCACTTCCGAGATACGCTTCGCTTGTCAAGTAAAAAGGTTTCAGTTGGAGGCTCAGTGCTAAATTCAAGTTATTCTTTTCTCTTGTCACGAATGACTGAGCATTTAGCACGGAGCCTCATACTGAAACCTTTGTACTTGACAAGCGAAGCGTATCTCTGAAGTGGGCTATTGGAGTAGCCGTAAAAGCTGCCTGTAGAATACACCTATTTCAAAAAACGTTGTCATCGCCAAAGGCAATAGACAATAGGTCATTCCGACATGAAAATGGTTTCGTTAAATACAAACGACATTGAATAAGTCCAGGAACACAAAAGCTACAAACACACGGTGCAACATTGAGCGCAACGTTGCATGGTATTGATGTTGCGAGCCATGACACACGACGCAATTTGTTGCACACAACGTTGCTGAAGTAGAAAACTATCATACTACAGCAACATTGCCTGCAATGTTGCACCGTGTGTTCGTGCCTTAAGGTCCATGTTCTCGGCGAGAATAAGAAGCAGAAACACAAGTCATTCCTGCTTTTCTTGGATCTTGGAATCTTGGAAATCTCCTTTTGCCAATAGACCTTATTCGTGATGTGACAATGTTTTCCCAATTCAGCGTGACAAACCTCTGGGGGAATGAAGAGCTATTGTTTTGAAACTCGTCGGGATATTATCGTTATTCCTTTCGTATCCTTTGGGATACTCATGAATTTTTCGAAGAGTAAAAACAAAAGAAAATGAATCCCCTGGAAGTTCGTCACACTGAATTGGGAAAACATTGTCACACCACGAATAAGGTCTATTGACAACATTTTCTTTTCGTTGCTGTGGGCTCCCTGTGCGGCTCTAAATAAAAACGTTTCATTGCTTCTTTTCTTAGTTATATTCCTCTCATTTTGAAAAGGGATTTCTTTACTCTATYAGTTGTTTGTATGTATTAATAATTATTTACACATACTTTGTTAACTTGTTCATTAAATATATCTTTGCACACTTAACCTATTGTGAATCTATCCGTCATTACTAAATCCAATTATGATAGCAGCAAATAAAGACTGATATAAAAATCAAATCCAGTTATGATTAATGCCACCCTAGTTGTTGGACAATGACACCATTTTCAAATGATTATGAATAAAAACAAAMACAAGAAAAAAGCTTTGAAACCGAAACAAAATTGGGGACAACAGACCCGTTTCGAATTCCAAATTACCGCTGTGTTTCTTGATTGCAGACTCATTTGCACAGGGTTAAATTAGCCTCGAGTTTGTGGAGAATATTCACGTGTTCCAGTCAAGGTCCGTCGAGTTTCAAAGTGTCCGTATTGTTGAAGAAGTGCATTCTTTACTTTACCATTGGTATTTGTGAATATTTAAACACTGATACGAGGCTAACACTGTGCAAATGAGTCTGTTAATCAAGGAACACAGCGGTAATTTGGAATTCGAAACGGGTCTGTTCTCCCACCTAATCCCKGTGAAGGGACAAATCCAGGGTACATTTCACTCTCCCGTGGGACAACTCCCGTTGAAAGAACAAATCCCAGGGTACATTGCCTTGTCCCGTGGGACAACTCCCATTGAAGGGACAAATACCAGGGTACATTTCCCTGTCCC